TATTACTTGTGCGAGTAAAAGAAAAGTGCACGGACAATTTTAGAAGTGTACTGAATCGATCGCAAATGTTCATTTTGTTTGTATATCTTTTTGCCTGAACGTAAAACGCAAGAATTCTTCACATGCGTTTTCTCGCATCCGACGTCATCAAACAAGGACAGTTGTAACGACTATCCAGCAGCCTTAAGGTTTCAATTAAAAATATTGATCATTAACGAAGTTATTACATAAAATGTAAATGGGGAGCCGTAATGCCATTCTCCCCTCCAGGCAAAGGAACACACGAATCAAAAAGGAAGCCGAGAACACGAGACGTCACAGTTCCGAGCGCTGTTTTAATGAGTACTTTTCGCCTCGGCTCGAAACCACGCATTTGAGACGTGACAAGATATTTAGTTTCTGCTCACCCTCTCTCTCTCTGAAGAATTTGTCACGTCTATGAAACGGATTCCCGTCGGCTTGCACTTGATGTGAAGCAAACGATGCACGAACGCGAAGATAGGCGGCTGGCNTGGAAGGGGGAGGGAGGGAGGGAGCGACGCGGTTGTCACGACGTCGAATGTTATCGTCCTCGTCTTCGTCGTCGTTCTTGCTTTGATTCCGGCCCGCAATTCATCGGTGAGACGCTCCCGTGAGACTTGACGCATAAAGTGCATTAAAGTGCATCAGAGTGCATTAGGAATCGTATCGGTGGCGATTAATGGCGTTAATGCGCGCGGCGAGAGCTATTTTTCAAGCAAATAAGACGCGGGACGTTCATTCGAAAAAAAAGGAAAAAAAATGGTTTTACAGTCACAGCGAAAATGATCGAGATACGAGAAATTAGCTGAGATGGATAAATGTCCAGTAAACACTTCAATGTCACATATGCGCCGTATCTAATCAATATAGGCGATAGAAGCGTAACCGTTATCTTTTATTTGTTATCTTTTGTTTGTTTAATTCAGCAAGAGAATCTCTCTGTGGAGTTTATCCGGATTGGAGGCCGGATCGCATTTCTCATTAAAAACTAGCAACAGGACTTAAATTTTCTCACACATATTGCTAGAATGCTGTCGCTGTAAATTGTACGTACAAAACAATTCTAGCAGATACAAAAAACAGCGATACATCTTACCTGTGACATTTGGAATTCTAGCTGGACCAGCAAAACACCTCCCTGGGTGTTCGTCAAATCTTAATGTGATTTAGTCCGCGGAAACGGCAAATTCCACTGCGTCAATTTTATATCAGGACGACTTCATTTTGAACGTTTGCGCGGCTCGACAGAGTTACGCGTTAAACGGAATTCACCGTTAAGATGAAGCTGCAATTGACACCGAAATTTGAGCAAATTATCTCGATAATCAATATGAATTAAAGTTAATTGAGAAATACCACTCTCCGTTTCATATTTTGTATTGTGTACGTGTGTGACACGTATTTTTATTCACGGTGCGCATGTGTCGTCGATGCTCGATAAAGATTCTTCTATTTTCGGCGTTTAATAACGCGATTTTCCACCGGTGTGTTTGAATTACGCCGAGAACAAAAGGACCCTGACCAGCTTTAATAGCCCTATAACTATGGACGCTCGGCTATTACAGCAACATTTTTCTCGGTTTGCGGTCCCGGTACCTGTGGTCGGCAGGACATGCGGTTTTAGAACACTTCGTATAGTGCTTTACGATGAGCCTTTCAGCCAGGTCGTAGAAAGAGAAAGAGAGAGACACGCTGGGCATGAGCTCGTGAGGTGGGGAGGGGCGAAATTCTGTTAAAACTAACTAAGCGAAGGCGGTCGTGAAAACAATTTCACTTACAACAAGGTAAGCGGCCTTCATGGTTTTCACAAAGGAGCCGCCTCTCCGCCGGAATTCCGGTCGTCGAGGAAGCGACTGCTCTTGAATTGACTACTCACTGCCAGACTCACAGGCTGCTCGCAGGAGATTGCTAAATAAGAAACATTCGAAAGTTCTCCCCGGCTTCACCATCCATCTGCCGTGAACGTTTTCGCTCCCCTTAATTTCTCCCACTCTTTACGGCTTTCTCGACTCCAGTCTGGTCGAACGTTAGTTTCGACTGTAACGGTGGAAGTGCATAACGGCAAAAATAATAGATGGCAAGCTTTGTGTGCTTTTCGTGAAAGGGAAGGATAATGAGAAAACCGTAGCGCAGCAGATCGTTTCGAAACGCGTAAATTCATTGTTCTCGATAAAGTGCCGCGCACATCCACATCTTATTTAATTTTCCAACGCCCGGATGTGCGAACGCGAGGTCGTTTCCGGAGCTGCCGTCATTTTTTGCGTTTTACCTTATAATCGCTCCCTTAAGTAGTCCAAAGGGCAGCCGCCGGGAGAGATTGTAAAAATACTCGCGTATGCAACTGTAATCGAGCCATTCCCTTTGCGGAACGCGGAAATTGCGGTTTCAACACGTGAACAATCACGCGATATCCTGTCTCGATTAACTCGCGCCGAGATCGATTCGCCGGCGTTTGATTTTCGCCACTTTCAACAAACTCTTATCAGAACACAGTGCGATAACGCAAGGACTCTATTCAGAGAGTTTCGCTCAAATTGTAATTTGCGACAATCATTTCCACATTTTCAACGTGAGCAAGCCGCTATATTGTGCGGTTTAAGGACGCTAAACGAGTGAATTATTCTATATAATTGCGAATGTAACATCGCCTTTGTTTCACTCCCGAGTCGCGAGACGACACTGGTCGCGTTTACGTTGCGAGATATTGATTTAGCCGCAAGATACGTCGGCTTCTATTTGCGCACGACGACGTTTCCTCCAGGAATCCACCCATTTCGGTAGCCTAATTGTGGACCATTGTAACCGCCATTCCATTCTTTGCTGTCGCACTTTCAACCAGACGTCGCTTCCGCGGCGGCAGCCAGGCGGACAAGCAGTCACGCTTTCTCTTCCATTCGAATCGGCACGCGAGGAAATCGTGTTACATCCGCCTTTCACCGTTATTTAGCAAGTTTTGCTCAACCCCGTAATATCGGGGCATCAGTTCTGGTGCGGGAAACGCGTCTGTCGAGTCAACGATTTCCGAGGGAGACAAAACTCCGGGAAATATCCGAGTGTTCTTCTTCACGGGAACGTCAAACTTCGCAGGAAATATTTCTTGACAAATTCACTCGATCTTTTCTCCCTCGGAAGCTTGGAACTTACGAGACCTCGGGGAGACCTCGGGTATGTAAATGGACGACAGCATCTTATTGTTCGGTTAATTTCAAGTAAACTTCTCCTTTTTATCAGAGGGGCTTTCGCAACGAAAGTCGATTATTAAGACGCCGAACGTAATAAAGTCGCGAGAAAGATGAGAGGTTTGTATCGGAAAACTATCCGTGGCGAAAGTTTAACGCGGCTTTTACAGAGGAGGAGGGAGAAAATGTGCGCCTGTGTGTACGGGGGCTGAAAAACAAAATAAAAGTATTTGAAATTAGTTGGGAGGTGAAGCGATGACAAATTCATAAATTCAGTTATTCGAGATGGTTCCTCGCGCACAAACGTGAAAATTATACGCTTAACGGCGAGTTCCTCGCGACTTTATCCTGCTGTGCTGGAAAAGGTTTGCGCGACAGTAGCTAGGATTGTCGCGCTATGAAATTTATATATATATATATATATATATAGTGAACGATCGCTGACCCTCTTCCGCTCGGATATTGACAGTGCTTTCCACTTGGAAATTCTCGTTATTGCGCAAAGAATAATATCCGATATATTTTTATTAATACTTCGCCCGTGTCTCCTGTTAAATAGCTCGAGCAGTAGTTTCAAAAGTGGATGGTTCCCTGGAGGCGAAAGGGGGGAACGGTGAGATCACTTAAGAATAAGATAGTGATAAGAGAGTCAAAGCAGGAGGAGGCGTGAGAGGAGGGGTATCGCTGGAGTAAGTTAATCGATTTCGCTAAAATTCTCCCACAGCTTAATCTAGTTTCTATGAAATTTAAGATTACGCTATTTTATTAATTGGACTAAGAGCCATCTAACCAGAGTGGGGGTGATCGTGCGATAGCTTCTTACTTTTCGGATTTTCGTCATAATTATCTTCGAAATAGCTACCTTTGGAACCGCTTCCTCAGGGGAAATTCGGGAAAAACCCAGACTGACCCGATCAGAGATCGTTGAATTCCCGAAGAAACTGCGGACAATCCCTCCTCAGGAGAAAAATCCCCTTTCCCGGAATTCTTTGGAAATTAATTTCCGTAAAAATTCCGTTAGTATTCCCTTCGCCTTACATCTCTCTTCCCGCGAGTGCGAAGAAATTTGGAGTGAGTTAATAATTATTTACCAATTGAAAGGATTCGGCGCGATCTGCTTTCTCGTGAGAATCCGAGGAAGTTAATTTCAAGGTAACCGAAGAGAGGGTGACGGAATAGGAAGGGGGGAGGCGGGCGGGAGCGGGCCGAAGTAAATCCAGTTTAATTTCCTCGAATTCTGAAAAAAGTGGGTTAGACCGCCGCGCGCGAGCGTTGCACTTAACCGTTCAATTTAATCGTCCCTGTGACCGAACTATTTTTTTCTCGCCCGACGGAGCGTGTATTCTTCGCGGGAGTCCGTGAGATTTCGCCAGCATGTCGCTGGCAGATTAAAGCCGGAATCTCCGGGTAATCGATCGCGTGCTCTCCTTTATTTGCCTGGCGCGCTTGCCGCGCGCGCGCGCGGCAATTGCAATTTCGAGACTTTCTAAGCGGCCCACCGATGCAACTGCGTTGCCATTCTTCGGGGCGCCGCATTTCGTAGGGTGGCCGGGATTTACTTTTGCACGGACGACGGTAGGTGAGGTTTGCCTTTCGTCCTCCGCAGTAGGGTCCTCGAAGCTGAGAGACCGCGCGCGAATACTTCCGATTCGCCGGGAAACCGTCCCTCTCGGGGCGAGAGCGGTAAATTGCGAGGCCTGCGATAAGGCTTCGGCGTTTGCCAATTGATAGTGAACGATAACGATAAGAGCGAGTGTTAAGGGGACGGTGAAAGGAGAGCTCAATCGTCGGGGAATCGTCGTTGAGGCGGCGCGAGAAACGGTGTGAGAGACGCGATAAATCGTGTGAACCGAAAGATAAACGCGGACGTAACACGTTTGGTGTCATAATACGGCGTAACATTGCGGCTGTCAACGGGAATCTCCGAGGAATCTTCGGATATACACGCCCTCCCCGCGCGCGCCAGCCGAGATCCCCGGTGATAAATAGCGATATATTTGTCGCGCGAAAGTGATACCTTCAATCTCCCTCTCACTTCGTTCGCTCGAAGCGTTGAAAATACTCGCAGGTGTGAAGGTACGTTGTATATCCGATGGCAGCGAATATACATTTTTCATACCGAAATTCTACCGGCCATCATAAAGCTATCGTCCGCTGCCGCTGTTAAACGCGCGAGTATATCGTTAAATCGGCGCGCAGTTGAGATAAATAAAAAAATGGCTTCCACTTTAATTGATACGAGATATCTGATACGCGCGATCTTTCCGGGACCGGAAAGCGTGTGTGATACGTACGCAGTATTAAATTAAACATTATTTTTCGTACAGTATGTTTGCGCCCATGTACATTCGACAGAGAGAAATTATAAATATATATATCGATAACGCGAGAGGCAAATATCGAGTTTCTTAACCCGGGAATAGTCACCTAGGGTTATTTCATATCCCGGTCAGAAAATGAAGCTCACGTCACAGTGGATTTTTTTTTACTGATCGAGAACCAATATGTACCTTTCATTTAGACATTTAAAGACCTACCCGGTGCAACAAGAATAGACTGTAACTAGTTTTATTCGTAATAAAACTTGTAAAAACACGTTGGGGCACAAAACGATCTCAGATGATCGTATACATTATAAAATTCGAGTATAACGAGAGTCAAGTAGAGCGAAAATTCGTATTGTGAAGATGATAAGTTTGAATGAGGTTATATGTACCCATACAGCCAGTAAACATTAAGTAATATAAATATTACTTCTAATACGTAGGCTGCTGGAAAAGTTTCTGCAAAGGATATGAAAAAAGAACATGTAAAATTCGATAAATGGCTTTATTATTTTTCAAAGTATTCGCCTTTAAGATTGATACACTTTTACATACGCTCGAACCAATTTTCGAAGTATTTTTTCCACTCTGAGGCTGTAACCTCAGAAATCAGTGTTCGAAATGCTTCAACAGCTGCTTCAGACGACACAAATCGCTCACCATGCATCTTATGTTTGATGTTTGAGAGCAAAAAGAAGTCATTAGGTAATAAATCAGGTGAATACGGACAATGAGTCATCAATTTGACATTTTTACTGAATAAAAAATCAACGGTTCGACGTGTCCAGAAAAAAAAATGTCCAGAAAAATAGGCAAAGGTGCTATTATTAAATATCTAATATTTATATTTATTGTTTATGATTGACATATATAGTTGACATTAACATTTATAAATGATTATAAATGAAATAAATATCTTAAACTATACTTTTATTTAATGTTAAACGTAAAAGTATCTATATTTTTAAAAATTTATAATTTTTTTTTAAATATTTATTGTGTTATACATTTATATAATACAATGAAGAAATATAAAAGTAAGTAATTTTTTACAACCCTGAATCAAAACTAATAACTTTGACGGCTTTACATTCTTATAAAATGAATATTATTCAATATACTTTCAGTCTTTTCTAATAATTATTCTTTACAAATCATTAAATATTTTATTTCGTCGAAAATAGGCAACAAAATAGCATATTTTAAATTGATATCTTCATTTATTAAAAATAATGTTATAATAAGTCACTTGATGTGCTTATTCCGATTTTTAAATATTTTTTCGGTTTCCCCTCATTTTTTCAAAGAAATAGCGAATAAATCCATATTTACAATGTCCCTAAATAATAATAAATCATAGAGCAATCGATAATATGCTATATTTTGTCAATAATAGCGGTTTTTAACTGGCATCTAAATGACCCTAAGTGATCGTTTACGTAAAACAAAAAGAATAAGGTGACTATTCCCGGGTTAATAACAATAAGGGTCATCGAATCGGCGATGCGAGAGGGAATTTTTCGAGCCCGCTCCGATAAGTGGCGGCGGAACACTGTTATAAAAGTCGAGACGGCGACGACACGCATTCCCCAAGAATATCGCTCAAAGTCTACAAATGTTACTCGACATGTTATGGATTGTGAGTTAAAATACGGCGGGGGTAATTTCGAGTGTCGAAAAGAGATTGGTAGGTGGAGAACCGGTTGAAACACTTGGCAAGCGATATCGTCGGTACATATAACCTCGAGGATAACGTTTAAAACTGGGAGGAGTACGAGATGTACGATCTCATAAACGAATTACTTCGGGAACATTATTTAAAGAATATTCAAGAGCGTTACTCAGAGATCGTCGGGCATATCGACCGACGTATCTCGGGATATCACTTAAAAGTCCGCGGATATAATGCAGGATATCGTACCCTCTCCGCGAACGGTACTTCGAGGGTTTAAAGAGTCGCCACTTAAACGATCAAGGCTGTTATTTAATATTCAGGAGCAAAGCGGTTCTGCGAAGCGAGTCAATCCGTAAGGCGGGAGGATCCATCGGGTAAGATCCGACGGCTAAGATTAGGCGGGGAAGATAGGATTATCGAAAATCGTTTAAAGATTCGACATCGAGAAAGCATGGCCGAAAGAACGTCTGACGGTAAGAAAGCGGAAAAAATAGCGCCGGCGGATAAGACGGTGGATATCGACGGCGGCGGCATTTTGTCGAGGAAGATGCCGGATGTCACGAGAGACGGAAGCGAAATTAAAAGACGGTCCAAGAGGAACATCATCGATGTGCCCGAACGAGAGCTCATAGAGATGGAAAAGGACGGGACGAGATATCGCCGCGATGAGAACGGACGGTGGAGGCCGGTTTTGTATTGATTAACGTTTCCACACCGGTTAGTTGGTTTTTTTTCTGCACCGGCGGTTTTTAACCTGCGACTGACGGACCGCGAGGGCCTCTCCCAACGGGCGCTGCTACGAACGTTTAGGAACTTAATGAATTGTTATTAACGTATTACTAAATGTATATGTAGAATAGACACGCGTGTACATGACATATCGCCGGACGATGATAATCAGCTGTACCGTATATTCTGAGATAGAACGTTAAATTGTTCCCCTTCAGAATCGGAAAGTCAAATTATTATACAAGTTAAATATTGAACTATCTTTTCGAATTTTTTTATTCAGGACGTAAATTTTATACACAGCTCACGTAGCCAAAATAACTTCTCAGTAACCATCTTTCCCCCGTAAAAGAGATCGGTTTATCCTAAAAATCGAAGTTTTCTTCGTAGAAACTGAATTTCTTACTCAAGAAGCTGCATCCCTCTCGACAAGCCTTGTATTAGTTTTACAAATCGACTTTTCGAATAAAAGTTAAATATTATTTATTTTAAAAATAAAGCTTCTCTCGCCACAAATGTCTTCCAGTCCAGAAGTTGGAGTGGACTTGTTTTGAGAGCTCTATACTAAAAACGAAACTTTATTTACAACAGAAGTCAAATATTTGTCGATCAAATTTGATCGTACGAAAAGTTTTTTTTTTCCGCGTATCAAGTTTTTCGTACTAAAAACTGGTATTTCCTATGAAGTTTATTTTATAAAAAATAAACGGTATTTTTTTTTTAACAACTCTTATTGATATCTGACCAACAATAAACTACTAAACTTTTTTGTTACTTGTTTAATATCTTCAGTGTTCAGTGTTTTGTGCGTTTTATTGGAAGTTAGAGTTCTATATAAATTTCTTTCTTCTCTCTTCTCTCTCTCTCTCTCTCTGTCTATCTTTCTCTCTCTATTATTAAGCATCGTAATCACGATACTTACACAATCCTGTAGACAAGATATTTTCTGAGCCACTCGCATATGCATATTTATAAGTTTCCACATGGACATCATTTGAAATGCAAAACGATACTCTTGACCATTCCGATAACCTTAAATGAAACGTTTTTAAATATGATCATTGACGTACAGTGGCGAAAATATGAAGTAATCTCTTAATATGAAATAATCATAGAAAAATTGGCTTATAAGATTAGAGTGGACTTGGAAATGTATATGATTTAAGTAAATTAATGTACAAGCGAATAGACGATTTAAATAAGCAAGGATGCAAAATTTAATCCAGGTTCAAAAACAACATTAAAAAAGTATGTAATGACAAAACGAAGGATTAGGGTAGAAATTAAATTATTAGAGAGAAATAAATAATATATATTAGCGTCTCGTTTTCTTTATGATATACAACCATATATCAGAATTTTATATCTTAAATATTTTTAATGTAAAGATATAAAAATACAAATCCAGGTTGAAGCTTAAGTTATGCAAATCATTGTAATGAAGTGTTTTTTTACGTGCAAATACTCCTGTTTAGGAAGGCACAAGTTAAAATTGAAATTTAGCGATTGTATCTGTCCGAAATGCAACAAGCTAACGTATGTTGTGCTAAATTCTTATCAAAGATTTACATAACCTCTGACGTTTAACCTTCGTGCCACCGCGTATACGCAATGTAATTCCCGCGAAGGGGACTATTAATAATCGACGATAATTTTATCGGTTTGAAGATCGCTGTGGCGAAACATTAATCAGTCGCTACGTAGCATTATTAGTGACAGCATGTAAAAGCATTATAAATAACGGATGACTGACGAGAAAACCGTGCAAAACGTTTCCGCCTTCTCGGCACAAAGAAAACATTTCGTGCATCACACGCGCCATTCAGTCTTACCGGGAACGTTCGAGACGAACTATATTTCGTAGCGAGTATCGAGCATGAAAGTTCAAGTGATCGCGTTGTTAATGATTGCCATGTTGGCAATGACCATCGCGGGACAGCCGAAAAACAATAACCAACGTTCACCGAAAACTGTTTTGAATTCAACAGTAGGTACCGAGAATATTATACAGGTGCCAGATAGAACGTGTACAGAAAATCATCAACTTGATGCTAATGGAGTTTGCCGAGAAGTATTTAAAATTTAAGAAGACTTGCGGTAAATAAATTTATGCACTGTGATATTTTGCTGAAAAGCATAGTAACATTGAAAAGATGCATGTAACGAGGAGAAGAATAAATCTGCATGAAATTTAGGAGATACAAAAAGTGAGTTAGAAAGTCAATTTTTAACTTTTGTTTAGTTTGTGGAAGAATATGGAAAGAGTTTTTCGAGTCGAAAATCAGTCGATCGGAAAATTCGAGAACGAATAAATTCACGGAATTTTCTTAATAATGGTTGCACGCGCGTACGCATTTGTGTGTGTATGTGTGTAAGTGTGTGTGTGTATTCACATATTTAAAAAAATATAACAAAATTTTGATCAACATGCGTATCAGAGTGAACTATTTCTAAATTGTTCTTTATGCGTTTTTAATGTGTAGAAATGTTTCAATGTCAGATTCTATGAAAAAGTAAACTGCGGTCAATCTTTTTCAGCAAAAAATTTACGAGATGTTATTATTTGTAGCAGCGTATCGCACACATATGCTTTTCGCTATTATTATAACTTGGCTATATTGAACTTTAAATTAAAGTTTTTGCCAACATAAAATTACACATACAAGAAATTACACGGAACTAACATATTTAGAATTAACTAGAAGGTATTTTAATACATCTACAAAGCCTAGAATCCTATTAGGATGTTTTCTGCAAGCTTATGAAAGTTGATCTTTGATTCATCATTTCACGAATGCACAATTTTCAAGTACAAATATGTCTAACATGTGTTTTCGTTACAACGCGCTTTATTAACGATGGATAGCTGAAACTTGCATCCCCACTGCGAATTTTTCAATTTGAAGTTATCCGTAAAGCACATATTTTCGCATTTTGTTACGAAACGCTCCCGCATGCTCCAAACATTTATTCCACCAATCGTATTATCCTGATTCATTCTACGGCTGTTTGAATAGCACGTGCCCAATGGAACGGAATTTATAGCATGTGAAAAAGAAGATACCAAAAAATTCAAAGCGATCACACACATAATTCATTTTTTTATGTCGCAAAACAAAGATGTCGAGGTTTTTATTGCAGTATTTATTCGTGCGCTGCCATTTTTTTATGTTCGTTTGCAGATTCGACGATACGAGCGATGTCATCCGCAAGCTACAAGCAATGCGATGAAATATCGTAACGGCGGCGTCAAAAAAAAGAGAGAGACTAGGCAATCCGTTTGTTTCGTATTATCGAAGAAAAAAGCTATTTCGACATCAGCAAATTGAAGATAAATTAACAGTTTTTTTTATTAAATGCAGTTAGCGGCATTTATTATTCATTCAATTTGCGTTACTGTAATTATGTTATAACTTGTCGCCATAATATTTTTGTAATTTTTTTACAAGCTAAAATAAGGTAGTAATAAACTACTAATAAAATAGCATAAACAAATTTCTGTCGACTTAACTGCGCGTAGTCTAAGAATCATTGTACGCACTGTAATTTTAACGATAAATTATCTGTCAAATTTAGAATAGGAACACTTTTATAAAAGAAAAAACTCATATCTTAGAAAAAGAGAAGTTTATTTCGTTATATTTGAGTCAAGATTTTACCTATTATAACTATTTTATTATTATTTACAAACATATGGGAGTGAATAAAAGAAATATTCATAATCGCCTCTTTAATATATTCGCAATCATCTCTTTAAAATAATTTCATACAAATAATGTAAATCTCTCAAAGGATGAAACAATTAAAACTAAATAAATATTTAAAACAGCAAAAATGCGGAGTCTATATCATTTTATTGCTCGAATGGAAATATTGTAGCATGTGTTTGCCGACAAATAATGAGAACAATCTTCTGGTGATCAAAACATGTAATATTTTTAAAATGCTCTCGATCATAATATAGATGTTACTCAGTGACGCGGCTTGATAGAGTATTTACCGCAAGCGAATTAAGTGAAACACATAAAATTAGCAACTTCCTGCGATTCGAATCTGTGTAATATCTATTAAAGTTTTTCACATAATTTATAAGTTTTATAAATTAGCGTTAAATTGAACTAATTTTTCTGAACAATGTATAGTAAATCATAGAAGGGAATGATTCATTTAAGTTTTCAACGTTTATACTGCGAGTGTATGTTCCCCAATTTACTCCACTGACATTTCTCAAACGTGTAACTTCTTATCGCGGTGAAAAAGTTTAAGTTTCAATCCGTATTTTTGTTTTTTGCAACAAAATTCAGCAGATTGCGTCATCAGGCGTAACACCTATGTAAACGGGGAATACACGATAATAAAGCGCCAAGTGTTTGCTAGGACAGACAGAATAACGAATGTAACAAGCAAAAGTGGAATAAGTTATACGTGACTTGAGGATTTCTTACTAATTAAAATAATTAAAGAAGAAGATACTTCGTAAAAGGAAGATACAAAATAAAAGAGGAAAGGGTCGATCTAAATTTCGATTTGATTTATAAAAAGAATTCATAGTTTCTTTTTGTTATTGCATCGAGATAAAGTTCTTTGCAAGTATTCTACTAATAATGATAATGATAATCAATATGGTGCTACCGAAATCCTACCAAAAGTACGACATATTTACCAAAAGTTATTTTATTGACGTACATCTAATAATATTACAAAAATTACCACTTACGTGTCAACCTGGCAAAATACAGAATCGTTGGGGGACGTGTCGCAGTCTATTCAAATAGTTGAAAGGTAAAGCTAACCAATGTTTTAAAAGAATATATTTTATTGTAACAGTTGGAATAATCTTACTGAACAGAAGACCTAATCGACGTGATTAAATAAAAAAAACAATTGAGTTTTGTAAAATCGCTAAGGTAATGTCTAATTTAGCGGTAAATTTTCGCAGAAACTAATTTTGTACGGAATTACTCAATTATGTGTAAAATTTCTTTATTTGATATTAATAAAATATTTTTTCCCTTCGAAATTATTATTTACTTCTCTAGATATTAAAAAAAATATATTTAATTTATTTATTGTTAATGCTTATGTTGTTGACTCGGTAACCTTAAATGTTACTTTAAGTAAACCGACTGACAATAATATAATAAAGAATGTATTTTCTTCTCTACGGACATTATCATAATTTATGAGAATGTAGAATATATATAGCATCCCTTTATCAATCTTAATTCATACAATTTATTTCTTTATAAATTGGTTGCGTACTTTATATATAGTGCTTCTCAAAAAATTACATTTTGACTTGTAACGGACTCCATCCGGAAATACGACATATACATTTTATGTCTGTTTACAGGCTGGAAGATATCAACATTTTAGCAATGACACTTGAAAACCAGATGCAAGACGGAACTTCAAATTGACGAGATGACAGCTGGGTAGTAAAGACCCATATCTACAGTGCTCTTCTTCCTCGCTATTTTCATTCGCTGATAGTAGATTAATAAATTTCTTAATAATTGTAGCAACAGTAGAAAATCAATACAAAATTTTCTTGTTTAACTTAATCCTACATTTCCACTATTATTTTCGACATTCGTAAACTCCACGCATAATCGGTTGCGTCCGTCGCTTATTTGACTACATTTTTGTGTACGAAAAAGTCCGGAAAAATTCCCGAATCTTTCGTAGACATTGAACTTGATGATAAAATTATTGCCCTACCTAAAAATACATTTTTTAATAAACATTTATATTAAAATTCGCAGACATGTAGGCAATTTACATTTCAAATATTGACAAATTTATATTTTCCTTTGTATTTAATTTAAAAAAATATCCATGCAGTAACGTTTAGGTGTAAAATAACATACTTTGTAACAAAAAATATGATCACCATCGGGTGTGAAACAAAGATATTTATTTTGCGAATCGAAAAATGGCAAATTTCACCGGTGGGAAAAATTTGAAAAAGTCGTACGGCGAACAAATATTTCTTCATTTCTTTATTTTCTTCTTTTTTATAAGGTCGGAGCTCCTTACTTGCCTAAAGAGTCTAGTAGTATTTACATTTGAAATTTTTGGCACGGACATGAATAACCTATGCGTGGGATTCTAGAATTAACGAGCTCATGTACAGTATCTGTACATGAGCAATACGGTGTTAAATATTGGGAACCCTTAATTTTAAACAGGTAATTTTAACAAATAGCGAATAAGGGCTCGTTCAGATGAGGCGTTTCTGCCACGCGGTCGCCGCCGCGCCCTAGCACGTCACGAGGCGACGTGCGAGAACGCGTACACAGGTGCGCACGCAGAATCGCGTACACGTGACGAGCACACGTGTGCGTAGGATTGCATGCATTCTCGCACGTCGCCTCGCGACAACGTACGGCTCGTACATCGCTACGCGCGGCGAAAACGCCTTGTCTGAACGAAGCTTAAAAAACATACAAATTGCTGTGGAATAATTTCATCCAAAAAGTATAAGTTTATACTTATAATCAAACATGTTTAAGCCGAATATAGCCACTTGGGATCATTTCAGACCCCAGAAAATGAAGCTTACGTCGCAGTGGGTCTTTTTATGACTGATCGGGAAAGATCTACCTTTATATATCCATATCTACCTTTATATATCCATATCTGCCTTTCAATCGAACATTTAAGCCGGTATTCATTCATTCAGATCTTATATTTAGGATTATATATGTCTTCATCTTCAGATGCTGTACGGTTCATTTCATTAGCTACGAAGCATTTAAAGATAAACTAAAGATGGTCTTAAATATAAGATTTAATTATGAATACCAGCCTTAGAGGCCTAACTTGTGCAAGAATTGGCTGTGACCCATCTTATTATTTATAATATCAGCCTGTAAAAACTCGTTGAGGTACAAAATGACCCCAAGTGATCATTTATATTATAAAATTAGTTAGACACGGTAGGAGTTCGTATCATGAATACAAGATAATAAGTTTAAATGAGTATATTTATAATAAAGTTATACCCACATCTAGTAAACACCAAGCAATATTTACATTACATCTGATACTAATTGATAGAAATGTCGAATAAAATAGACAGAGATGCAATTATTAAATATTTAATATTTATATTTATTATTTACAAATAGCATATACATATAGTTAACATTAACATTTGTTATTTGTTATAGATGAAATGAATATCTTAAACTACTTTAAGTAATTATAAAAAATAGACATAAAAGTAGGCATAAAAAGTATCTATATTCTTAAAAATTCATAATTTTTTATTAAGAAATATTTCTTTATGTTATACATTTATATGATATAAAAGAAAAATATAAAAATAAATCATTTTTTTACAATCCTGGATTAATATCAGTAACTTTGTATGATCGCGATTTAGCCTTACTTTACATTCTTATAAAATGAATGTTATTTAGTATATTTTCAATCTTCTTTAATAATTATTCCTTTTTTACGAATCTTTAAATATGTTATTCCATCAAAAATAGACAATAAAACAGTGTTTTTTAATTTTTTTAATATCTTCATTCGTGAGAATACTGTAAAATAAAGTAAAAAAATACTGTAAGAATAAGACACTTGATGTATTTATTTCGTTTCTTAAATATTTTTTTATTTCTCCTCAATTTTTCCAAAAACGTAACGAGTAAATCTATATCTACAATATCCCCGAATGATAATAAATCATAGAGTAATCGATAATATACTATATTTTGTTAATAGCGACTTTTAACTGAAGTGTAAAATGATTCTAGGTGATCGTTTGCGTAAAAAAATATGGTTATTATTCTCGGGTTAAAACTAAATGCGCAATGAAGACAAGGCAGCGTATGCCGTCTTTATCTTTACGTTGCTTGTCTCGCTTAAATGAAAACATTGCATCATGAACCGGCAGATAATGAACTTTTTGCATATGATCGAGTATGACCTTATGATTAAAACGCCTCCAATCATAATATTAATGTTATTGAGTGACATGATTTTATGAAACATAGTGTTCCGCACGGGTCAAGCAAATATGCAAAATTAGCCAACTTGTGCAACACGAATCTGTATAATATTCAATAATTTATCAGATAATTTATAATTTATAATTTATAATTTATAAGATAATTTATTTTCTATTCGCGTTATATATTTGCACTTTTTCCTTTAGATAACGCGTATGAGAAACCGAGAGAGAATGGCCCACTTGAATTTTCAGCGAGCATATGCGGAGTACACGGTCCTTATTTTATTTACTCCACTGATATTTCTTACGTAAATAAGCTTTTATCATGACAAATAACCGTCGTGCGCCGGTTCACATTCTTGATTTTTGCAACACAATCCGGCAGATTGCATCACTGGTCTGTAACGTCTGTGTTATAAATGGGAAACACGATAAGAAAGTGCGCAAATGCTCGCTGAGACGGGTAAAATAAATAACGAATGCAACGAGCGAAAGTGAAAAAAGTGATACGTAAGATACGCGAAAGTTGTACTAATCAAAATAATTAAATAGAGAGAAATAGAGAAGGATGGATCCGAAAATTTCGATTTGATTTTTAAAAAAACCTCCATATTTCTCGTCAGCATTGTGTCAAGGTGAAGGTGATTTCCATCGGTATTCTGTTAGTGATAATGATATTCGATCGATTCGGTGCCATTGAAATTTTATATATACGTCACAAGGATATACGTCACAACTAACATTTCAGTTGCCACAATTTAACGTTGGGTCTGGAACACAATTTATTGTGAGAATGCGTACAAGAGATTTGTGTCCAATTGGCCAAATGGCTGGATAACAGAGGAATATGTCACATACGCGTGAAATAACTCTGATGCATATATATAGAGTAACTATTTCTTTAAAAGACTATATTTAATTTTAACAAGTGAAGTAATCTTAACGAGCAGAAGTTCAATCGGAATGACGAAATAAAGTGCGACAGTGACCTAGCGTAAGATATCGCTAGGTCAATATAGTGGCAAGTCTTTCCAGGAACTAATTTTGCACGTATGTGATTACATATGTATGAGGTTTATTTAATATTAATACGATATTTTCAAAATGTTATATATTGTTTTTGATTATATACTTTCCTTACAGAAAAATATTACTGCCTGTGATAAATTGATCAGTGATAAATTATTGTTGCCCAGTAATTTTATTACTCGTACAAATAATAAAATTATTGAATTTGCACGGAATCGAGATAAGTAAAAAATTTCTGTCCTGTGAGAACGGATATAAATGATCCGTCTCTCACCGGGCTTCAAAAATTTAAAAACACCATGGAAAACCAAGTTGATGTTCGATTGGATGTGTTAACTGAAAATTTAACACGATTAAATGTTTCAAATGACGTAATTTAAAGCGGCAAAAAACGTGTAAAAGGAGCTTCGGTTAAATGTGTCATATTTAGATGTTTCTGCATTTGAAAATAACACACTTAGATTTGCAGTGCAGATAATTCACTTAAGCTTTGGCCGTTTACATTAAATGTACGCTGTCCTATTTACGCCACTGATATTAGTTACGCGTATAACCTTCGATCATGGTAACATCATGGTTCTAATCTGCATCTTGGATTTTTGCTTCACAATGCAATATATGTGTCATCAGCAAGTCTGATATTATAAGTTTAAAACGCGCAATAGGAAAGAAACTAAATGCTCGCTGCATGTGGTAGATATTATAACGAATGGAACGAGCAAAAGTGGAATAAGTGATATATGAGATTCGCAAATGTCGCGTTAAACAAAATAATTAAGAAGAAAGAATACAAATAGGAGACATACAGTTGAAGACAGAAGGATCGATCGCATTTTGATTCCATTTATAAACAATATCCGTGTTGCTCTCTTCTGTTGATGCAAGATGAAATTTTTTGCCGGTGTTCTGCTAATGATAATGATACTAAATTTGGTGCCACTGAATTCTTGTCAAGATAACATTTCATGGACATTCGACAGACCATTATTCGTGCAACGCAATATTATAAAACTACCTACAAGAACAAGTGCAACCCCGTGTCCCGAAGGTCACAAATTGGATTTTCGGGGAATATGTCGTGAACGTGTTAGATAATTGAGAGGTAATAACAACTATAATTTTAAAAGAATACAATTAATTTCATCACGTATAATCTTAATGAACAAAAATTACAAGCAACAACATTAAAATAATGCCGGTTTGAATTTTATAAGAACGCTAAGGCAACGCGCAGTTTAGCAAAAAATTCTACAGGAAATAATTTTTTTTATAATTATAAGAAAGTAAATATTTATTTAATACCAATGCAATATTTTAACGACCATATATTTGATTATATATTGTTTCACACAAATATTTTGAAGAAATATAATGAAATTATAATGAAATATAATGAAATAAATTGTTATTATTGATACTGATGTGATATATTGGCTTGAAAGCCTTAATTGTCACGTGTTTAAGTAAACTAACTGATAATGCTGGTTTATGTCAAGTCAAGTTACAGAGAGAAAGAGAGGGAGAGAGAGAGAGAGAGAGAAATTTGTAATCAGACATAACCTTATTTTAGACAGAATTTATAGTTGCTAAAAATTTTTGGCGAGCTCTGCAATAAATATCTCTCAAAAAATTAAATATAGGCTTGCGACGGATTTATATCGGAAATACATGTATATTTTATGTGTCTGTTTGCAGGCTTGAAGACATCAACATTCCAAAAATGTTAACTGAAAACCAGAAGCGAGATGGAAATCTAAAATATCGTCGCGACTAACAACCGCAAATTGACAAAAATATTCCGCATAGCAATGAAATTTCAATAAATTTATATTGTTAATTCTGATCACAATACATATGTATTTAAATTATATTACCAATTATGCGCATATATAATAAATTGCACGTTGTATCATATTCCACAATTTACGTATAAATACATATAAATGATAGAAATAACAGTGTCTCTTGTCAGAAAGAATTAAAAACGTATTTCTTGGACACTTTTCACACGTGTGCTCCTCCTATCTTCTCGTCGCATATTCAATTGCTAATATTCATACATTTCTTAATAAATACTGCAACAAACCTGTCAACAAAACGAACGAAAATGTGTGCAGTTTAACTCTATCTATTCACAAGCATTACGGTACGGACCTCGATATATCCCCCTTTACTAGAAAGAAAGATATCTAATTCTTACACATTTCATGTGCTGACACAAATATAATTATAATCAGAAGCAATTTGCTTAACCTATTCGTACGTCATAAAGTACAACGTGAAAAAACTTTTGTGAGACGTTTCAGAAACAAATCTATAGAAGCTGCACAAATCCGGAAGCCAAATCAAGCATGTGTGTTTAATAATTTAATAAGCGCGAACATAAAATGAATTAACAAATATATTCAAAAAACATAGTAAACGTAGCTAAACTAGCTCGATGCATCACTTAAATGCATTAATCACAGCTTGTCATATAATCAGCTATAGTGGTGATATAATGGCAAACCAACTCTCATTATCCGCTCACGATGCGACGTCATCCCAAAAGTGTTACTCCATTCTTTACCGATAACTGTCGGATCAGTAAGTGTCGTTGCGCAGCTTTTCGGTTCTATATTATACCTGCGCAACGATACATTCTCTAGCCGAGGCATATACAGGCATTTACAGAATATAACCCTAGGCAAGATTTATAATATCAACTCTTGCCTGACGTCGACTCACGGTTCGACTTTGGCAGGATTACAGTCAACGATATTAAATGAAATCTGAATAAAAATTATAATTATTTTCGGCGCCAACTACATCTTGTCTTGTCTTTCAACAAAAAAGTAGTAACAATATAATGTAAAATTATTATCAGTAATGCTATGTAAAAACTTAATGTAAAAGTGGCTTTCTTTATAATAATATCTGGGAAATGTTTAGAAGTACTACTTTGCCGAAAACCGTGTTTTTTTTTTTTTTGGTAATAATCAATAAAACAAGTTATAAAAAGATATTTGTGTACGTTTTAACCTCTTGACTACGGCAGACTTTGAGACGCACCGGCCGTATCATATGGCAGGAATTGAGTTACGATGTACGCCAAGAACGGCGAATTTTTGGTTAGGGATGCATTTTTGTGAAAACATATTTCAATAATCAAAAAACTGAATTTTACTACATTAAAATAATATTACTTATTTCTCTGAACCGAATTACTATTGTTCAAAATTCCAATTGAGTCTTAACGGAAACGTTAATGTTATCATGCTCATCACACGTGAGCCGAGCATGATGCGGGAATCGAGTGCGATCTCGAAACAATAACACGCGGATTGTGAACCAACAACAACACAAGTAAATATGAAACACGCGTGTCTAATCACGTGTTCGGTTATAAGAACACCTAATTGTCATGTTGTATCAAAAAACATTGCCACATTTGAACATGATCGAAAAGGCTTCGTCCGATCGAAGGTCAACCACTCTATTCGTTCCGCTTGGAAAAAATTATATTGGTATAAAATTGGGTGCCTTGAGAGCACAAGAAGAAAACGTTGAGCGAACACTCAGACAGAGAGAGACTTTTCAAATCGAAATTAGAACAAGTTGTGCGATTCGAATAATTCGCGTATCTCGGCTCGCTACGGGTTCGACCGTCAGTGCGAGAAATCACGTTAACTCTATTCACCTCGGTGAATGCGAGATATCTTTCGCGTCCTCGCGACTACTTCGTGAGTGATTATCGGTCTTTCATTTAATCATATTTGTAATTTTTGAACGTTGTGATCGTCGAATTGAATCGTGTTGCGTCCTGTAACGGCGGTTGCGCGTGGCGAACAAGAAGAGGAAGAACATCATCACGCCCCGCGTTGTAAGGGCCAGATCGCCATTCTGTTTCAACAGCCGAATAAACCATTGCACAACCGAAGCTCGAGTTCAAAGAATTTCCCTTGCCACCGATCCTTCATTGCATTCCATGCCCTGCGCTGGGCAGATCCAGCGGGAGCGTTGCACGCGAGCCATTGAGTGCATTCGCTCATAAACAACTATAAATATTACAAATTTAATATTAATGTAAAGCTTTTTTCGCAAGATATCTAATAGTCTATTAAAGTGCGATATAATTTGAAACATGGATAAATACATAATCCTACATCACATTTCTTACATTGGTAATGTGTCTCACTTCTTTTGCTATGTTCGATGAGGTGAGAATAATTATCACGGTACGAAGTGATGTCTTCAGAATTCGTTTATTGTCTGCCCCGGACAATGCGAACAACGGTGCGCGTGCTTCCACTTCGTTTAACTCCCCTTTTTTTAATATTTCGCTAATATTTAAATATTTAAATAGCAGGTGACTAACGAAATATGTACCAGCGAAATTAACATTCACTCTCGTCTAACTGACATAAGATCTATCAGATTAAATATCGATAAAATTCTCAGTGCGCCTTTAGGCGCCCTCCGCGTCAGAAAGCCAAACTGCGTCGAGCGCCTTAGGCGCTCTCAGTGTCAGAAAGCCAAACTGCGTCGAGCGCCTATAGGCGCTCTCAGTGTCACAAACGCAAAATTTCTAAGCGCTTATAGGCGCCCACAGTAGCCTAGGGATTAAAGAAGAGGTATGAAGTTAATTACCTAACAATTTAAGTTTTATTTTCGGTTTATTCTTTATTAATCACGAGATTGGAGTAAAACGTTGACGAAAATGAAAAAAATTTATAGACACGTTTTCACAATGATCACGAAAAGTAGGTCGAAATAGAAATTCAGCTATATGCCCGAGCCTATGTTCCTCTTTTCAGCCATACTGTGAAAATTGGGAACACATATCAAGTTTGCTCGATATTTTGCGTGTTGGTGTCAATACTTGCATTTACGAAATTTCGATTTCTTTCACGAACGGTTTATCGTCCCTCTTACAAAATTTGACCAGTCAGTAATCGTTTGTCGTCTTACGTTGAATTCATTCTTCAAAAAATTTAATTTACTGATGATAACAAACATTTCATAATAAATTGGCAATATATAGTTAGGGACATATGTGCATTACTGAGCCGTGTTTATGTGCGTCACGATTGCCAGAAATTATTAAGAGAATAATTGTATTTTATCCACGATATTTTTTGCTTTTGGCACCTCTATTTTAAATTTTATTTTATATTGTATGTTTGCCCCAAGTATTGCACACAACTTCAGTAGGTATATCATCGTGGCATTGGAAAAAATTAGTGGTTGTAATGTTACAGAAGAAAATATCTAATGCAAAGAGTAACGCGACAACACAGTTATCACTCACTTCCATTGCTAAAAGTCAACTGAGTAAGCAATAAACAGAGTATCGCTGATATTTAGAATCGATTATATGTAAACTTAAGGATTTTCTAGGGAAGTTGAAACTATCATAGAATTGATCTTAAAAATGTTTAATATATTTAAACGTTTCCGAATTTTTTCTTAAAAAACCTCATGCTTCCTCCTGAAAACTTATATAAATATCTTTTTATAGCCTATTTTGTTAATTACTATAAAAAAAGTAGTTCTCGTTGGAGTAGTACTTCCAAATGTTTATGTTATCTATTCTGTATGAGAACACCACAAATTGAAAAGTATTATTTTAATTGAGGTATTTTTACACATTTCTTGCCGTTTTAAGTAATATCATTTCACATGATTGAATGTATTAATTTATATATATATTAATTTAACACGACTAAACATTTTAAATGACAATCGAAAACGGCTAGAAACATGTGAAAGGAGCTTCAACCAAATGTGTGATTCTTAGACGTTTACGCGTTAAAAAAAAATACATATGGATTTGCAGTGAAGGTAATTCATTAAAGTTTTAATCATTTACAACAAATGTACGCTGTTCTTTTGGTGCCACTGATATTAATTACGCGTGTGACCTTCAATCGTAATAACGTTACGTCCTAATCTGCATTTTGGATATTTGCTTCACAATGCAATAGATTACATTATCAGGACGTCTAATGTCATAAATTCGCGCAGTAAGAACGAAATTAAACGCTCGCTGCATATGGCAGATTGTATAAATAGTGCAACAAGCAAAAGTGGAAAAAGCGATACATAAAGTTCGCGTTAGTCAAAATAATTAAGAAGAAAGGAATCAAATAAGAGACAAAAAGTTGCTGGCGGAAAAATCGATCGATCGATATTTGATTCAATTTATAAACAATATCCGTGTTATTTCAAGATGAAATTTTTTACCGGTGTTCTGCTAATGATAATGATATTAAATTTGGTGTCACTGAATTATGGTGAAAGTAGCGTTCCATGTATATGCAACAGAATGGAAGCGGTACCTATGCCACGCCAAATGATTAGGAATCCTCAATTAAGTCACTGTCCCGCAGGCATGTGGTTGGACCCTTGGGGAGTATGTCGTTCACGTCTTTGACAGGTAATAACAACTATAATTTTAAAAGAATGTAATTAATTTTATCACGTAGTATAATCTTAAAGAACAGAAATTACAAGCGACGACATCTAAATAATTCGCGTTTGTATTTCATAAAAACGCTATGGCAACGCGCAGTTTATCAACAAGTTCTACAGAAAAAAATTTTTTTGTTATTATAAGAATGTAAATATTTTATTTAATATCAATGCAATATTTTAACAACTATATATTTCATTATATATTGTCACACACATACTAGGACAAATATAATGAAATTATAATGAAATAAAATGAAATAAATTGTTATTATTGATACTGATGTGATATCTTAGCTCAAGAGACTTAATTGTCACGTGTTTAAGTAAATTGTCTTATAATGCTGATTTATTTCAAATCAAGTTAGGAAAAGAGAGAGAGAGAGAGAGAGAGGAGGAGAGAGAGGAGGAGAGAGAGAGAGAGAGAGAGAGAAAGAAAGGGATTTGTAATTAAATATAACCTTGTTTTACACAGAATTTATGCTTGCTAACCATTTTTTGCGAACTTTAGTAAATAATGTCTCTCAGAAAATTAT